CGCTCTGCGCCCCCACCGACCCTAAATGGAGCGAAAACATTTCCCTCGTAGTCTTAGGCATTTGCAGCAGCATCAAGGCTGATTTGCAATGTGCACCAGCAGAGCTGGTTTACGCCACAACGCTAAAGTTTCCAGGAGAATTCGTTTCGCCCTCGCATCGTCGGGTATACTTCCGCCTAACGTTGCGTCCTCCCTAGCTCAACGCATGCGTTCACTACGCCCGACTCCGCCCGGTGAGCCGACTAGAAATGTGCAAATGCACAGCGCTCTCTACCTGTATTCACGTTTTCCCCCGCACTGACTCAGTGCGGACTCCGCAACATTTCCCTTTATATCAGAAAAGTCACCGAACAACGGAGTCCATCGACCGCCTCAAAGTGGCTTTCTTTGAACGATCACTTGCAACCCATCCTGCTGCTATCACACAAGCACCCGTACCTGTGGTGACTTCCCGAGCACTGGATACCCCGAAACCTTCCGTTCCCCTTGACTCTCAACCTACCACGCCTGAACCTCAGCAACCGACCGACGCGGTAAACTGGTCAAACGTCCGGTCCGTCTTACAGATTTTGTAAACGTTTGCTATCGGCTCTAGTAGTAATCGTGCATCTCATTCACAAACATTGTGCAAAATCGACAAACAAACCCAAAGCATTCTGGAAATGTGAAAAGCCTATTTGCTTTTGTCATGCATGCCATGTTCCCTCTCCGTCGTCAAACCACTCCCCCGACCCTTGCCCACCCCTCTGTTCTAACTTCTAAAAACTCATCCACCGGAACTACCAAGGCAACCCTCGAGTGACTCGCCAATCGGCTCAACGCAACACCTGAGTGACTCCCTAGCCGGCCCAAAGCCCCCTTCCTGACCCAAGGAACAGTCAGTCGCCTTCGACCACGGACGGCCACGAACGGATTGGTCCCCAAACGCCTGGCTTGGCGTTGCCAACGAAGACGCCGGATTTCTTCGTGGAACGAGGACCGTGGACTGGAGTGCTTTGGGGGGAGTGACACCTTCTAAATGCACCGTTGGGTCTGCAGCGGCGGAAATGTCCTGTCGGTCTTTTTTTCTGGACTATCTAGTTTCCTTTGCAGTCCGACCAGCCCACCTCGATAGCCTACCGATGATGCACTCTGGTCTACACGATCATCAAATAATTAATAAAAAAGCCTTGATCCAGCGAAGTGGTACACACCCCATCTTGGAAGCCTGTATTTAAGCCCATGCAGCTATTCGCGTCCATCCTCACCTCCCGTTTTTCCCCACTAACAGGCCCATCGAAGGCTTCCATCCTTCAGCCTTTTAGGAGAGTCCCTTATAGTGTACCGGAAAACACGTTCTTTCAGTATTTTGCAACATTAGATTTTACCGTTGTTTTAACCTTCAAAACGTCCACTTGTTTTACTGAAGGCACTTCCGTTGACATAAATCGTTTTGGTGAGTACCTTGCTGCACTGTTTCTCGCTATGGTTGATTCGCTTCATATTTTTGTAGCCTGCACAATATGCGCTAGGCTCAGTCGTCGCCAACTTCTATACTGTTTCGTGTTTGGCACGGCTCTTACGTGTCATTGATTACCGACTAGTATCCCAGGTGCCAGCCAACATACCTGAGCCATTCAGTCTCAGGAGATTGAGGCGCCTTGGAATAGTTGATCCTTGTTGCCCCAACACATTCATGACGACGAGGTACGCAGACGAGTAGCTGGCAGCGACGGTCAAGTCAGCGGTTTACAGTAATTAATAACAGCGAACAAGTTGTGTGGACTTGGGCTAGCACTAAATATGCCTGCCAACAGCTTACCGGGAAGATGTTGATCGTGTTTGCCGGATAAGAATGGTGCACAACTGGAGGAGAGTAAGCAGCAGCGAGTTAATGAAGATCAAGCTGGATACTATTTTTCGAGGTTCGTTGTCCCCAATCCGGATCACCCATCTCAAGCATCTGGTGCTCATTGAGTTGTGGAGTAGGGTAGGATATGGCGAGATTCAGAAGGCTAAAGGAAGATGTCTTGCCCATGTTGTCTAACCTTAGCGTAACAGTTATTTACTTGTGACCGCGTTGTTGACAATGTGTGGGCATCTTGCCCTTGAATGTTTTTGTTTGGGGTAGTTTAGTTATATACTAGTTTGCCCCTCTTCTTCGTTCTCACACTTTAAGTAGCAGTTTAACTAACGGAAAAACTGCTGTTGATGACGACTGCATCAGAAGCGCAAGTTCCCGGCAGAGTCACATGGCAACTATCGAACGACAGGCTATCATGGAATCATTATAGCCATATCAAACTCAGGTTTAAATAGTGCGTCATTCCAAGACTATTGGTCAATCTGAGACATTTACCTGATGTCGGCAATCCTTTTATGCGCGCTAGCACTTAATGTTCGAAGAAGCGTTTGATTTCGAGGATGCCTCCTCGACAAATATGTGATGAGTCCGCGAAGCGAAGATATCACTATGAATCGTAACCCCAAGTGTCAATGACAAATAGGGTACACGAAACATATGCGGATCAGAAGCATTTGCAACGTTTATGCTGAAAACACACAAGCATCTTGAGGTGTCCAAACAACAAATGGGTTTCTGGCACTTAGATGAGTGTGATTGAAGCAAGAATGGTTGTTTTATGAAGTCAAGTGAAACGTGTTAATATCACTAAAAACAACTGCGATTGGTGACATCGAAAGTGACCAGGACATGGGTGGAAAGTGTAAGCCGGTGAGGAGGTTAGCACCACAGTGCTGTTTTGACTTGTCCAGAGCAAGAGACAAATAAAGGCTCCTATGAGTGGGACAACAGATGAGCTTAATTATCTTGAAGAGCAATGGCACCGACCTGGTGCTTTAACCTTCAATCAAGTAAGGTGTAGTGGAGATGTTGGTATAAATTCAGAGATAGATCGTCGCTGTTCGCTCTCAGTCAGCAGGCTTTGACACGTCTGAAAAGCACCAGACAGTTGTTTCAACCTTCCGGGGCCCGTCAGTGGTGCACCTTCCTCGGATCCATGCCGGGTTCCGACCCCATGACTTCCAGATGCCAGCAGCTTGTGCCACTAAGCCATGGGTGACGGTCGCGAACCTACATGACTGACAGTTGGCTACGATTTAGTCCGGATCGTCCTCAACTGCCATGCCAGTTACGAACTGTGCAGAGGACAGTGGTTGGCCTCAGGAGCTAGGACTTTCCGCATAGTGAGTGTGTACGACACAGCACTTTAGAAGCTACATGGACAGATTTTAGATGACTAATGATTAGTGAGCCAGAACTCAAATAGGACTGATCTAACAACTCCCACCACAGACGGGATGTGATACGGACTGATGTTGTTGAAGTAGAACATGGCGCCTGGCCCTGACAACCACTATACACTGCTGTCAAGTTGATAGTGATTATGTGAGTCGTAAGTATCAGACCAAAGTGGAGGAGGGTTAAGAAATAAGGGTTTATAAACAAGAGGGACAAAATGGTAGTTGGAACAGGACGAGAAGGATGAAAAACCCTAAGAGGATGAATAAGGCAACGGAAAGGTCTGAACTGTAGCGTGTTCACCCCTATTTAACCCGCTCGAACCAGTAGGTAGGGATAGAGCATCAATAAATTGTGTGAAGAGGTTTCCATTGTAGTTCCTGTCGTTTTTATCGTGGTTACCTTCGACTACACAGTTTTGACACTGCTCTTTGCTCATCAAATCTCCTAACCTTGGGCCATTGAACATGATATGTGGAAACCGATTCAGTTACTTAAACACAGGTTGGAGCACGTGAGTACGATAAAAATCAAAGCAAGCCGGCACTCTTTCCCGACGCTTCGTTACCATTCGATCACCGTCGGTCAATCACGGGAAAGATAGGGATGTGTCTACTCCATCCATTAGGGGCGCAAAACCAATGTTCCCGTTCGAGTAGTCAGCCCACAGTATAAGAAAACGTAAGTGTGAACTCAGTGCGCACCACGAAAGCAGTGTAAACAGGTGTTAGCAGACACACCAGCATCGGTTGCATACGACTCAGTGCGGGCCGTTGGGCATTCGATCAGATGACATTCAGCTAGCTTGTCCAGGCTAACTGGTCCTCAATAAGTGTACGTTAGTCCATCCACCCATGCGCCAACGCAGCAAAGGACTTCTTGCGTGAATGATTAGAGAAAATTCAGAATGTAAGATAAAGCTGACTGGTTAATTTCCCTAAATCGACAGTGGAGTCGCAGCTGTCTGGCGTATTGCACATGGATGACAGGTAATTTTAGTTCGAAATTAACGCAACACAAGTCAGTGCCGAGCCCACCAGTCGTGACCAATCGTTCAACTGCCGCCAATGGTATATGTCCTTGATAAGCAAGTATATGCGCGACCTAATTCATGTGATTATTCGCATTGATTAAGATTATTGACCTTGCAATCTAGGTGCAGTTGACGAGAATGGCGTTGCCCATTATTGCTTTGACCGAACAAAACTTAAATGTCTGACGGGTACTTTATGCGTATCTCATTGTGGCGTCGGAGCTGACCAAGTTCGATGCGAGTGTAGAGAAGATACCCAAGCAACTAAAACTGCCAACTCGATTAATGCTTCCAAGTGACTGCTAATAGCGGCGAGATATTCAGCGTAAAAGTACGACGCTTAAAAGACAGTTCCATCATCGTACGGGCTACGGTCAGACTCTTGGGATCTGTGGCGCGTTGATTCAAGTGCTTGATTTGCAACATTTGTTCCCTGGATTCGAAGTCGCCCAGGTTTGGCTGACCTAGTAGTGTCCCAAAGCGCTTGCATAACGGCCAGGCGTGTTGCAGTGGGTTGTAACGACTCCAAAATGATTGTGGCTTCTGCAACATTGGCTAAATATCCTATTCCTCCAGCTTTGCACCGGATATGGGGAGAGAGCTGTGTGGCGCAGCGTTAGCAACTTATGATGCCTCTGTGCGCACATCCACTTTGTGACTCAGCAACTATAGTGAGTAAAAAAGGTCAGCAACCGTACCATATACTGGATTCAAAAGGAAAGAGAATATGAAAACAGAATAACATTGTCAGTACCTTTTAAATGCGAGATACCATCAAGGTCAGTCAATAAAAACAGCGACAACTGTACATGGCATAAAGACAACATTTCGGTCCTCCACAGAACGAGGTTCGGAAATCAGATTACCGGATAAAGAGGAGGTGAAGATGATGTGGGCTGCACACTTCGATATGTTGATACAAGGGAAATAGAAGGGCCAATCTGGGTGATCTTTTAGGAAAACCGGATGCAAATCGCAAAACGGTATAGATGAATATGAGGTCAATCACTTTCATCATCCGTTAAAATGTCCTCATTATGCTTGCAAGTACTACGTCTGTGTTCGACTGAAAAGGTGTCCCCACTGAGTAAATCTCTGAATGCATGCAAACCGTTCGCACGAAGGGGATAAGGAGCACTAAGAAGATCGCTTTTGGAAGAAGGAAAATGGGTGTGGAACGGAGTTTGATAGGGTGAGGAAGAAGCCCAGGGGGAGCCAGGCAAACAAGGAGCAAGCGAGGAACGCTGTTGAGAGAATCCTTTTCCAACATTAAGGCCAGGGGGTGTGATGATCTTTGTTAAAATTTTGATAGTGAATTCAAGTAAATTAATGGCAAAAAATGCGGAGATAATTAACCAAACACGGCACACGAACGGGGAGAATCGGTGCATACCGTGCATTACAAAGTGGTCTTTCATGGGGAGATAGGTAAAAGCAAGGGAGATAAGTTGTTCTTCGGTGAATGGTAAGTGTACAGATGAGGTCAGGAGCACAACACCCAAAAACTTCAAAGCATTTCTCATTATAGTGCTGGTACGAGGATATGATCCGATAAGCTTTTCAGGCAATTGAAGCCAGTAAAACAATATGAAAGTGAAAAAAGCCACGAAGCATATGTAAGCGATAGTTAGTTCAGCGTTGGAAATAAACAGACGCATTATGAACGACCGAACATAGTCCAGAGCAAAACAGACAACGCTGAACGTCCCTCCGAGCAGGACAAACAAACTCTGCAAAATGGTTCCAGTACGTCGAAATGGTAACAATCGAGCGAATAGAATGAGCAGTATGAGTAAACTACCAAGGACAACTGAACCAATACCGGTCGCGTAATAAAAAGCGATTGACTGTGACATCCAACTCGCGGAGATAAGCAAGAGTATTCCAAAACAGGCAAAAAACAAGCGCTGAAAATTGTAGCTCGTTTTCACAGCTATGTACAAAGTTTTCGAAGCACCGGATGTCGATTTGTAACATATAGCTAAGCAGGATATCGGAAGACTGGGAATACGCCGTGTCAAAGCTAAAGAAGCAAATGTATCCTGCCGCATTGGAGTTGACGGGAAAAGTGGCGCAAAGTACGAAGCTGGGGAGTTTGAAGTGCGATCCTTCAGTGATGCGCAATTAAGATGAGGATCTGCAGAAAAAGAATCTTCTGTGACTTTATCATGAATTTCAAAATAGTCATAAGAACCAGTGGGGTCTGTTGCATTGGTAAACAACGAAATATCTAAATCTTTGAGACAGTTAGAAGCCCAGTATTGGAAGCTTGGAGTTGGAGTACAAAATAAGTTCAACGAATCGGAGGATAGCAAGATCTCTGATTCGGATCCAGGAATGAGAACATGTTTCACAATTTGCTGGTTGGCTGAACAAAGAGAATTCATAAAGGCAAAGAAAATCACAAGCCGGAATTCTAGCATGTTTGTAGTATGCGTCCGGTAGAGAATTTCGCGTCCCCAATGAGTAAGTAGGTCGCAATAGACTTGCAGGGCTGGAATACAAAACAAAGCATATCGTGGGCGATTGAATGAAACGTTTACAACAACTTAACAACAGACGGAACGGAAGATACGACTGGCACTAAGCAGGATGCTGATGACACAGATTTCGAGAGAGGGCCATCAACATCATACAATATGGGAGTCACAGATGGGAAATACCTCAGAAATTGTGCCACGATATAATAAAAATTGCAGGAAAAGGAATAGAAAAAACAACAAAGGCGATAACAACACAATAAAGATTTTGTGTGAGGGGGCTACCCTGTTCTCTGCACGGCAGTACCGTGCAAGTCAGTGGATAGTGAGCGGCGCTATATCACATCTAGTAAGTTATTCAAGATGGCCGTTGCCGGCCCCGTAGTTCAGTGATCTCAATCACGGACTAGCAACAGTCGAGTTGCGGGTTCGAGCCCTACCAGGGTCAGATGGAATGCGCACTGCTGACGATTCCCGAAAGGAGGAAACGCGCGTCCAATACTATTCCGGGCGTGTGATGGCTGTCTGAGTGAGTCTAGATGTGACAAATTTCTACTTATACCTTACAACTTCCCCTACCGCTCCTCTGTGATTTTGTGCTTCGTTTTATATTATGCGCCGGTAGTGAGTGCGTGGTTGGAGAGGGAGGCTAAGCAAAGTGGGTAGAGGCGACGAAAGACACAAGACAAATGCCAGTCGGTTGTCACCACTTTAATTAGTATATTCAGCCAAACGTGTTCATGGCTTTTCGGAACCCAACCCAGGAGTCGTGAGGCACAAACCGAAGCCAATTTCAAAGTGAGATCCTTCAGTCCTCTTGACCAAATTATCGCTTGGCATCACTTCTTCCATTTACACCCGGTCACACTAGCAATGCAGGACGCGAGAGTCTGTATGCTGGCATGCGCAACACGTGGCCCAGCCATGGGAGCCTGATGCGTGGCATAAAGATGCTGAGCGGTTCACTCACTCTTCTTGCACCAAATACACGACGCCGAACACGTTCACTGCTCACGCTGTGTTGCCAGCAGACATGAGCTAAGCTGTGAATGCAGGATGGTCGAACGTAACTAACCCAATCATGTCTATTGATCTGATGGGTCAGGTTTCGCATTCGTATTTGAGGGCTGAACGGACGGCTACACTGTTAACTCTGCCCTTGATGGCGATGGAGATGTCGCCCTGACTCCACGTGTATCGGAGATTTGTAAAAGTGCTTCGAGATCTTGCTATACGGTTCGTGATTTCATCTTCTATCCCACGGGCATTATAGTTTCCGAAATAACTTAATTTCTGAACGACTTCTAGCTGATTACTGTCGAGGGTCATTGCAGAGGTAGGTCCATGCCAATCTTCGAGAAGAATTGTGCGTTTCAAGGGTACAAAGCATAACCGGAAAAGACTGACAGCCAGTGCAGCTTGGCATGTTTGGGAGCTGTCAGATTGGGGCAATGTCGTCAGTAGACATTAAAAGTCCATGACTTGGAAGCAGCTCCACACCATGTAGGCCGTGCTCAGCGAACACCGTTTTCTTGACTTCGTTGATGCTGAAGTTACAACGGAAAGGTGACATCGAGCAACCTTGTCTCACATCGCTGGAGAGCGACGACAGTTTGCCGCAAACCTTCACTCTGACTGAACAGTGCGTGTATAGAGCTCTCATGACAGTTACTTATTTATCGGGTACACCTATCCTGAAGAGACAGTTCCAAAACGCACATGAATCCATCCAATCGAAGGCACCCCTGATGTCGACGAAAATGACTACGGTGAGTTGCCAGTAAATATGGCGGTATGCCAACAACAGACGTAGTACTGCGATGTCGCCCGTATCCACGCGGATTTGAACTGGTGACCTACGGAGTACAAAGTAAGCGCACAATCTTTTAGGCCACCAGCTGCTTGGTAAGTTTGTGAGCCTGGGGAGGAGTGGTAATGGGTGTGAGTACAACTTGGCCAACCACCCGCTGCATTCCACCAGTTCCATAAAGGATCTAGGCGTACTCCTACGCTGTGATCTGAAGCCTATCGATAACACGAACAGACTGCATGTAAAAGGACTACGGCCACTTTGGGTACTTAGACGCAGCTTCTGTACTTGGTCTGAAGAGATTGCCACTCGTCTGCTCTCTTCCATGGTAAGACCTGTACTTGAGTACTACTCACCTAATGTCCGATCACAATATGTGAGGTGCAGAGATTGGAACCGGTCCAGCATGTAGCTACCCGGCTCATCCCCATTTTACGGGATTTGTCGTATGAGGACCGATGTAGACTAGAGTTTTATATCCTGTCATATCGTCGGCTTCGAGTTGATTTCATTATGACGCATTGGATACTGCACCTGGGCCACTACCCTATGTTGAGGCCGCTGCTGCACGCTCGCGTACCAAGCAGAACACGCGGACACCAGTACAAACTAGTGGTATCGAATTTAAAGCGCGTCGCTCACGCCCTATGCTTCGAGTGGTGAAATATTGGAACAAATTACCGGAGAAGCTAGTCGACGCGAAAGAGATGTCAGAATCTAGGAGATTCCTTAACGCCCATTATGCGGACTGCAGGTATACAGAGCGTATCGCACCCAGATAAGATGGACAGCTGCAATATGTTGCCACCGCGCAGGAAACAGCGACGTGATTCCGCGCAGGTGCCCGATATACATACGGTGGAGAAATACAGATTTGTCTCCACGCTCTCTATTTTCAATATTCAGTATTCTCCTACAACATATTGGAACACAATGCATTTACTGGATGTTGTAAGTCTGGACTAGGTGGTGGTTGCGCTATCTATGTACACGTATCACTGCGGGTTTTATCAGTGCATATTCCCTCACATAAGTACCTGCAGGACTTCGTTTTTATAAATGTGCAACTAGATAATACAGCCTTGCACTCCTCGGATGTGTATACATGCACCAGTCGACCGAGTAGTCCTTGCCCCTGGTTTGCAACTATAAGGTCCCCGGTTCGAATTCGCGCCGGGTTGGGCATCCTCGCGGTATAAGACCGCGCACGACTGGTGGTGATCGCGCGGCAGCGAAGTGCCGTTACGGCGTGCAGCCAACACAATTGTGTAATACATGCACCCCGATTCTAACTCTGCAGAAACTGGTGCACTGCAAGATCTGTTCTGTTGAGTAGCGGATCAACCGGCCAAGTAAAAAAGGATACGTGGGGATTTCAACATGACGGATATCTCGTGGACCTAATGTCAGATATATAAATCTGAGTTCATACTTACGGATGGACATAGCATGTTTTTGTTCCCACTAGAAAGAATAACATACTAGACCTGATGTTTACCAATGGCCTAATACCAGATTCCGCTAATGATCTGAAACATCTTCGTGGTAGCGATCATAGGGTAGTCTCCTTTCTATTCACAAATAACGCCCGACTCTTAAAAACGGATGCGCCCAAGCCACAAATACTTTTAAGGCACTATGAAACAACTGCTTGGGACTCGTTTGCTAATTTACTTAAGAATGTTCAGCGGGACTTTTTTATCCTCACCGATGATCCGCAAGTCGCAGCTGATGCCCTATATAACAACATAGATCTCCGTTTCGATGCACTGTCTCCTATCAAACATAGACACTTTCCCTCAGGTCGCAGAAAGGCCATTTCAAGAAAAACAACTAATAAACCGAAAAAACTAATTACGGCATAGTGTGAAAATAATTACTGCAAAACGAATAACTTCACATGCTTAATGGAACACCATAATTTGGCCACATCATTGAGGCCGGATAATCGTGCGAAACAAATCGCCGATGAAAAACGGGCCCTCGACAGTCAATTCAGAAACCGTGAACTGATCACTCTTTTAAATCGCAGAACTACCAGGCGTACCCAGGAAACAATCTCACTCGTAGCACCAAATCAATGCAACAGAACAGACCCTACTCAGACTAGCGTAATGTCTAAGCAATATTTGTGCGCCTGCTTCACAGTGAATACTGAACCCATATGGATGGTCTTGCTACTAGTCACGGTTGATCAGCTCATCCGTGTCAGATTTGAGCCCCCCCCATATATATCAACTTATCAGATGCTCCAAATTCTCATATCTCGGTATCCAGACAATATTCCCTCGTAGTTGTGAAATTGGGCGGGGATGAGATCACTTGCTATTGCTGAGTGTTTTCTAGCTATCCATGAACTGCGGCACCGTAGCAGCTAAGAGAAAAGAAGCTGAAGCCGTTCCGTGACATAAATCAGGTTCACTTTCCGAGGTATATATATATATATATATATATATATATATATATATATATATATATATATATTAAAAAGAAAGAGTTTAAATGTAAGTTGGTTTAGCCCAACTGCGGTGAAGAAGCATGTGGATAAAATTCATTCCACTTTATTTGGTTTGTTCTGCGTACTTGATAATCTCCTAACTTGCACATGTCGCTCATGCAAATTGTGGTAAACTTGCGTAATTTTATCGCGTGGTATTTTTTAAAAATAACTTTCGGACATTTTGCACTTATTGCGGATTGACTTATAACTACTTTCTTCCATATGCTCATTTAGCGAGTATTTATTTCGTCATATGCGTTTACTTTATTCGATATCGGCATTTCTAATGATTGGCTGTTGTTTGACATCCCAGGTGTGGTTGTGCTTGATGTGTATGTTGACAAGGTGCCTACCTGTCTATTACCCACTACCTCGTTCATACTGGCTCTAGGAGACAGTTGGTCGTTGCTGGAGCGGACGGGGTGCACGGTCCTTGTGGCCGTGTTAGGATCAAAGAGTGGTTCCATGCACTCAGTGTGGAGCGGATTACGGTCCAGCCACCGCCAAATACAGCGTGCTTGTGTTTGCCTGTGAAGGAGTGTGGGCCGGCTCCGTTGATGAAACGTGGCTCCCATGCACATACCTCCCGGTCTTATTCCTTCGGGTTTACACTGGATATGGGGTGTGTGGATGGAGCTGTGGGTGGTGCAGCGCAAGCCACCCACGGTCCCTCTGTAGGCGCGGGCGTCCTGTAGCTGGCCACAG